TGAGTTGTTTTTGAAGATTTCAAATAATCTTACAATTAGTTGCTTGCATTACCTTTTATTTTTTATTTTATGACTCTGCCCATCGCCATTTATTGCATTATCTTCAAGGGAAAAACTTTAGAAATTCTACACTAATTTACGTAGGAAGATGGTAAGGGGATTTCTTGTCTTTCCCTCTTACCATCTTCCTACGTACCTAAAAATAATTGCATAAGATCGTGAAGGAGCACGCTTGATTTTTCTTAGCTTGGGGATATGATGGGCGCTTTTTAAATGTAATGAGTTTATATAGAAGCAAAAACAGAAGTAGTATCGTTAAGTTTTATCTCTCCATGTATTAGACTAATTTGTATGGTCAGCTGAGGTCGAGCATTTTGGAGGAAATTTTGGATTTTTTCCTTCTTCCTTGCATGCAAAACGTTTTTTATTTATTTTTTATAAATTTTGTGGCACTACAATCTAATTTTAAGTAGTGTACATACTTTACATTCAATGCTAACATCTTTGCCTAAAAAAGCGATTACTCAATTTGATTCTTATGATAAATCTTCTAAGTGATACTGCTTTCTCAGTAATGCGCTGGTTATAATAGGTCTCAATCACTTCTCTTTTGTACACTAGACCTAATCGCTTGAACAGCCTATTCTTTACTTTACAAAACCACTGTTATTACCAAAAATTTCTCGTTTCTCCCGATGAAAATAGCCTCTCAGAACAAACTCTGCTTGAAAAAGATGATTTATTTCGTTCTCAACACATTTGAACAAAACACTCGAGATATCTAAATAAGAAAAAAAAACCTCACACGTAAACATTCCAAACATTTCACTAAAATTTAATCCACTTCTGCAATCTCTCCTCTTGCAAACTAATAGGACTGTTTTTTCTTTTGTTTGCTCTTACTGACCGTTCAGAAGACAAGCGTCTGCCTCAAATCTCTCTGCAACAAGCTGTGCAAGTGCACGAATAAACAATAGAAAAACTTGTGTGGGTACGAGTTGTCTTCACGCAGTGTTTTCAAAGGAAATATACCTGAAATTGTAGTTGTGTCGCTATCTTGGAGTGAAATGAAGTTTTTTACAGGAACTTGGGAACGGAGGCCCGCAAGAGAGAGACTGGAAGGGGATCGGCACCGCTTTGCTAGTAATCATGTTTATATGTTCACTAATAGCCTTGGCTGTTTTTATATTAACACCGAGTAAGTTTGAATTCTAAAATTAACTTTGTATTTAAAAGTTTGCTAAAAAAATTTACTAG